GTAAATAGTAATTTCTCAACCAAACTCTGACTTGCTTTTACTTATAGTTCTACCTATACTGTTATAATAGTTTGGGGGCACGCCGCGTGTGCTGACTTCCCGCAAAATGGCTTTGATTACGTTTTCTAACTTATTTCATGAGATAGTACACTTACTGTAATTACAAAATTCTGGCCAGACATGTGAGGGAATCGGAGCAAACGAACGAAAAAAAACAGTGTCGAGAATAGTAGGCCTTCGTCATTTTGACGGAATGAACGAAAGCACATTAGTCTCCACATGAGACAATAAATTTTCCCGAACAAATAAAACAGACAGAAAAAATAATGGACCCCCAACACAACAATCCCCTAACCTAACCGACTTTTGCAAAACTGGCACCGACGGCATACAAGTCAGAAATAAATGGTATGGTCTCCACTCGTCCACTGTTGTATTATTAATCGATAATCGATTTACGATTATCTGCAAAAGCTCTACACCGGAGACTTGAAGGCAAAACAAAAGTTTCAATTACCATCCTGCTATAGAGGTGCTTGAAATTCACCCTGCTACTATTTTACTTCGATGCCTGTGAGCGTGATAGATCATTATTGAAGTCAAATCAAAAGTACGCTCGTGTATTAATCTTGACCAGACATTCCTTCAAGAAGGATGCAGGAGGTAAAACGACTCCCCACTGTTAAGCTAAGCCTGCCGCGCTCCTACTGCACTGTTACCATGACCGTCATAAGCTGTGTGTGGTATTCCACAACCTAAAGCAGACAGACCTCATTTTTTAAATCGGCGAAACGCATACTTTTACGAGGCAAAGTCGAAATCCTAGGGCATGTCGGTTCCGCATCCAGGACCGAGATCGATAAGGATAAGGTCACAGAAGTCAGCAAGTCGCCAGCGCCAAGCAATGTGAGCGAGGTCAGAAGTTTCTCTGGCCTCAGTTCCTGCTACAGGGAGCTCACTAATGATTATACCTATATAGTCACACCCATAAAAAAGCTCACCCTAAAGGGAGTGAGGACAAAGTAAATCACGCGCGTTGTGATGGCTGCATTGGAAGAGCGGCCTTGAGCCCAAACCCCCTTGTTCTCCCCGACTCTGACTCTTTCTTGACACTGACTATGTGGGTGAGGGCAGGTAGTGTGGTAGCTCCAGCGCAAAAGTCTACTATCCCTTAAAACGAAATCACGAGCGGTGTTCTGGCCTGTATTGAAGAAAGCGGCCAATGTCCCAGCCCCCCGTAAGTCTCGGTCTTCTTGACTGTCATGACACCGGACCAGGCAGGCAGGCGAGGGTGAAGAAGATGGTAGAGGGTGCGCGCAACGGCCACATTCACTTAAAACTAATCCCCATTGCCAGTCACCTCTCCTCTGCATCAACCTGTTTGGAGCCGATGGTTGACGTCATCGAAATCGATGGCAAAACTATCATCCAGTCGTTGAGGGTGAGCAAAACCAAAAAATACACCAAACACTCACCAGGTCCTGGCGTTGCCGGGCGTCCATGCTTCTAACGACGTTCCAGAACCAACGCTTTAATCTGGCAGCACGATCGGCTGCATTATTCTCCGTCACACCACTCCCGCCCGCAGTGCCCTCGGAAAGGGCAATGAAGGCGGAGGCTCCGCTCTCGTCTAGGAAGGTTGTGTAGCCCACAAGGGTGTCCACGTTGATGTCAGATACCCCGTTCAACAGGAGGCGGAGATCTTCGGAGGTGAGGCCATCCAGAGCATTGTGCGGAAGGACGTCGAAGACACCCAAACGAATGTGCTACAGAGGGTAGGGATGCAGAATGCGTCATTTTGTCTTACTTAACGCTAAACTTGACTGTGTGAATCAACTGCGATAAAAAAGGCAACGGGCTCGATGTAAAAATACCTCCAGAGGTTCGTGGATGACCTCACGCATCTTGAACTCCGCGTAGCGTTTAACGAATTCGTAGATGTTGCTTGAGTTCACGTCGATCTTATCACCACCGGGCACGAGAGGGTGCTGAGCAGATAGACTTCTGACACTACCACCCTCCTCCGGCGCGGCCAGTAGCGCAAAGGTCAGATTGTAGTCGAGAATGGAGTCTGACGTCTGTGTCGGAGAGAAAAGAGGGAAAAATTAGAGCTTGCAAACAGAAGATACAAACAGCAAAATATGACTGCAGGCGACGTAACAGAGCAACGTACACCCTCGGGGCGTGCAGACGTAGTGTAGAGGAGGAGTTGACGTAGACCCTCATAGACGGTGGAGTCGAAGAAGGCGAAGTCATGCCAGCAAAGCGGCCGACCAAGAATGTACTTCAGGACGTGGCGGTTGAACCGCAGGGGGCAGGTCTCGTTGGTGAGGAGACACAGGCCAATTACGCGTCCAATGCACCTACAGCAAAATGTGTTGGCAGTTTATATTGGTAGATGCCGACAGACGATTGGGACAAACAGGAGGATCGCATGACAACCAAAATGGGGAAAATGGGGGGAGGGGCGGAGAACACACCTGTAGATTGTATACCGGCATTGAAGGGACGCAGAGTCAGTGGAGGGAGACTGGCTGACTGCCCGAGGAGAGTAGAAACCGCCTAGACCAGGTTGCCAGAAGAGAGGAGCTCTCTCCGGCCTGGATGCGACGATTGCTGCCTCTTCATCCTCCGACTGATTTAGACTGGCTGATTGCGAGGTCGTCGCAGCTTTGTCTCTATAGAAAGGTTACGGGATAGGGATGCGAGTTAAGCTCCATCTACTGACAAGAGAAGAGCAAAGAAGACTAACTTCGAGCGTAAAAGCAAACTACCTGTTGGAGGTCGTCGCGACTGTCGTCTTTGGCTGGGAAGAAGACGCCGGGTAGCTGACCTCCATCGGTTCTGAGTGGCTTGATTCGGCACGATGGACGGACAAGGGCCGAGGGGTAAGTGAGGTGAAGGAGAAGTCGGGCCGGTTAGTAAGGCTGCTCCGCTCGGTGCCTGATGTGGAAAGTGTGATTGTGGCTGTCGAAATCACTGAGAATGGGGCGGAACTGTGGTTATCGGCGCCAGCAGCACTGGTCGAGGAGGAGGTAGCGCCTCGAAGACCCGCGGAGGCTGAAATTGCAAAGTGAAGTGAGGGTGCGACATATAAACCATAATGTGGGCAGATCAAACAGCAAGGCGAAGAGAGGTAGACGTGATTGCTGAGACAAAGACTTTAATTGCTAGCCGTTTCGAATCTCCGCTCGAACACATCACCAAAAACAGGCTATCTCTGCTCGAGAGGGAATTTGAAACTGCAGGCGAATAAAGTTCTTATCTGAGCGATCGTGTCTACTTCTTCTCAATAACTTCTTGGGACTCGCGTTTTTGCCTGTGTTGGCAAACAACCAAGTGCTTACACTAAAAATGCACAGGAGAACCGCATATCCCTAGCTAACGATCTAGCACAAAGCCACAACGCCAATCACTGCCACTGATTGCTATGCTTACCCTTCAAACAGGATAGTGTTCGGACGATCCATTAAACAAATTTAAAGAATCCAGTAGGCCGCGACTATGACTCGTGATTTGTGACAGAGGGAACATTCAAAATATTACACCAAATTCGGGCT